TTGTTTTTCTTTTGCTGTTTTCAAAATTTTCTCCCTGTCTTTGATTTTCATTGTTTTTACTATGATGTGTCTGTGGATCTCTTTGCATCTCCTACTTGAAATCCACTGAACTTCTTGGATGTGTAAATTAGTGTTTTCTAATAAGATTGCGACTTTTTAGCCATTATTACTTTGAATATATACATACATATATATTACATAGATACATATACACTTAATGGGTGTCTCACATTTCCCTGAGGGGCTGTTCACTTTTCTTCATTCTTTTTTTTTTTCATCTGTTCTTCAGCTTTCACAATCTCTATCAACCTATCTTCAAGTTTTCTAATTTTCTCTTCTGTCAATTTAAATCTACTGTTGACCCCATCTTGTAGATCTTTTACTTCCATTATTGTACTTAACTCCAGAATTTGCATTTTTTTCTTTTATGTAATTTCTATTTTTTAATTGATATTCTATATTTAGTGTGAAATTGTCATCATATGCTCCTTTACTTTTTAAACTGTGGTTTTCTTTATTTCCGTGAACATATTTATAATGGCTAACTCAATGTCCTTTCCATTAAGTTTGACATATGGTTGCTCTCACACACAGTTTCTGTTGCAGTGAGTGTGTCACACTTCCTTGTTTCTTTGAATGTTTCATAATTTTTTGTTGCAAACTGGATATTCTAAATAATAGATAAATAATATATATACTTTGGTCTCCACCCCTTCAGGCCTGTATTATTTTACTGACACCTATTTCCTGACCCAACACTCTTAAACCTCTGATGTTGCTCCTTATGGAATGTTTTTGTATTTTTTTTTAAATAATTTTCTTTAGTGTCACTGGGGAATAGGCTTCAGAGCTCCTCACACTGTCATGCTTGAAGTCCTCTCTCCCCCTCTTCTATTTTAAGGACCGTTATGATTTACATTTTGCCCACCTAGATAATCCACAATAATTTTCCTATCTTGAAATCAGCTTATTAGTAACCTTAAATCCATTGTAATCTTAAATTCCCCTTTGTTAGGTAAACTAGCATATTCACAGGTTCTGGAGATTAAAAAGTGGACATTTTTTGGGGAAGGGCATATTTCTGCCTACCAAAGTGACCCCAACATGTCAAACAATGTGCTAATCTGTATTGAATAATCCCCATGACATAATGGTCTATCTTCCAGGTTAGCCTAAAGCATGGGCAAAAGGGTCAGTGAGAATATTAATTAATAAACATATTAATATTAATAAACATACTTTTCTCTCTCCCTGTGTTAAACCATGCTAGGTTCAGGCATGCTTTTCTGCTCTTGTGTTAAACAATATGGGTATTAAGCATATTTACATGCCCCTATATCAAATGATACTGAAACCCAGCAAAAATAACTTAGGTATTTTTTCATAGTAATGTTAATTTTTAAGATAAGACTGTGAACCAACTTTAATAGCTAATGAATAATAACAGTTTGCTTATCAAAACTCCCTTCAAGACTCACTCCTCGCTGTGCTCAAAGCTATTAATTCATAAACTGTATCTACTTTCAATCCGTTTCCTGCTGTGAAAGACCTATCTTAAAATCACTTAGCTCAGATCATAAAATCCTGACCATCTCCTTCCTAAACTTCCAAAGGTTGTGACATTACAATAGCTTTGTCAATGAGTGTGCATGTGTGTATATGTGTGTGCATGTGGTTTTCTCCATTACTGCAAGAAGTCTGAAACACTAAGCTTCGCTTGATCATCTAATATTTCTGGAGACTCCTTTTGGGAAGTTAACAGTTGACAATGGAATCAAATAGATGAGTATAGACAAGATATTGATTTTGGAGAGTGTTGAACGTTAGGAACAAATGGACTATACTGTGAAATTGTACATTGTTTATTTTTGCATATTTGTATGAACTATCTTTAGAATACTGAAATTGGAAGCAGAGGAATGATGTTGAAATTGTCCAACTGCAAAGAATTCTTTAGTGGGGGGAAAAAACCTTCAGAGAAACGTTAAGAAAAGCACAGACTTTTAGATTGTTGTTGCTTTTTTCTCCTCCAGAATTTCTATGGTCTTTTTGGGGGGCAGGGATAGAAATTTTATTGAGATGGAAAATATGTATGGTTTGTTTCTTTGTTTTGCTTTGTTTATTTTGTCTTTCTGTTCTGTCTATCTCAACAGTAAGTTCACAGAAGTGAATTTTTTCTTTTTTTGTTGTTATAAAGAAGGCGAAATTAAATAGTTCTCGATTTCTTTTGCAAAGACTTTCTACTAATTACTTAAATTTAATATTCTCTGAAGCAATGCCACATTATTGTTGAGGATTGTGTCAATGTGAGCAAATAGAATGCAAATCCTTAGACTTATAGAACAGAAAGAGATCTGGATATTAGTAATCAATAGTTTTCAACCCTGGCTGTAAGTTGGAATCAGCTGTTGAAGCCACATCTCTTACTGTTAGGCCTTGGTTTCTCCACAGAAGAAATGACTCTGATGAGAGTGATAGTTTAGCAGTACTAATGTAACCCATCTGCAACATACTACATTTTGGGGAAGAGAGATTCCTAGAGGTTATGTTTTCCCTCAAGACTATCAAACTAGTAAATGGTAGTTGTGAAATTATAATCTATGATTTCTGATTCAAAGTAAGTACCTTGAATAAATAAATGATAAAAATAAAATTTATACTATAATCCATGCCTTGAGATATTTTATATTACTAGTTAATCTTCCAGGTCATGGTTGCAGTGCCTAGGTTAACTTGTTAACCTTAAAATATTCTGATTCTTTTATATCATGGGTCAGGAAACTATTGCAAGTGGGCCAAATCAAGCCTACAGCATATTTTTGTATGGCCTGTGAGCTAAGAATTGTTTTTGCATTTCTAAGTTGTTGGAAAAAATTTTAAGAATAATATTTGTGAGATGGGATTAAAATTCAGGGTCCATAAGCAAAGTTTTATTGGAACATAGCCATGCTCATTCATTTCTGTATTGTCTGTGGTTACTCTCATGTCACAGTGGCAGAGTCGAGTAGTTGTGACAGAAACCATATGGCTCACAAAGCAGAACATATTTACTCTCTGGCCTGTTACAGAAAAGGTTCGCCAACCCTTGTTTTTCATCAAAGAATTAAAAGTTCTGGATCTGTACAAATTAGTGGGGATGTATATTTATGCAGCATATGGAGTGGTTGAATGTATTCTTGGGCCTGCTCCTCTGTATTCCTTTAATGTCACTCATTATTCTATTTGACTTTAATGGTGTGCTTGGGTTGATATGTTAAAGATTAATGATGCACTTATCCTAAATCAAGATTCACAGAGATGTGAAGTTACAGCAGAGAGTAGAAGGCGTAATAGTTAAAGATTTTGCTTTTTTCCTCTGGAGAAATCCTGAGGATTTTATGTGTAAGGAATTTAAGTAGTTATAGCAACTGTCCCAGAAGATGCATAGCTCTGCCATGTTCTTGTCATAAAGCTGACAGTACACTCATGCTATGCTACTTGGGAAAATATGAGGAGCTGGTGTACAATGTCCATCATTTTGGGTTTAATTGAGCAATGAGTGTACATAATATTTGCATACATCTCTAGCCAGAAAAAAAAAAACTTCAAAACTCTGCTTAATTAGATGTTAGTGACTGTCATGAAGCAGTGTGGGTCTCTGTCCCCAAAGCAAAATATTATTTGGTAATAGATATAAACTATTGACAGGCTCTCAGTACAAATGTAGCTGCTAAACAATCAACATTTGCAGTGGTTAATGTGCCATGGGATGGTGAAAACACATTCCCATTGATTATAGGGACATAAGTCAACCTGTTACCCATTAGGATTAAAACAACAATTCCAACAATGACAGTAAGAGCAGCAGGGGCAGCAGCAGCTACCATGTATTTAACACTATCTGTGTGCCCAGAACTGTTTCAGGTACTTTAGAAGTTTTGACTTACTTAAATCATCACAGCAATCCTACAAGGTAGATACTATTACACTGTGCTATGTAGATTGTACATCGTACTCTACAAAGAAAGAAAATAAAGCACAGAGAAGCTAAATAGCTTGGCCACGGTCACACACTCAGGAAATAGAAGAATTTCATTGGAAACTAGGCAATTTGGTTGCAGTCTTTGCTCTTAAATAGTATCTTTTAGTGCTTAATCAAACTGTAGTTTATACAGTATTTAAGTTAAACAATGGAATCATGTTTTAGAAAAAAATATTGAGATTCAAGTCATGCCTGTTTTGTTTAAGGGATTTGAGAACACGCATACACAGATATAGATAAATATAGGTATATTTATTTTGACTTTCTTAACTAAAAAATAGGAATTCTATTTACTAATGTTATAGAAGAATGGGACTACCTCTCAGAATATGGAGTGTGTTGTGTTCTCTCTCTGTTTTTAAATTTGCTGATCCTAGTATAGTACTTAGTTTAGTATACAGTTAATGCTTAATAATAGTTTGCTGAATGAATGAACCCATGTGTGGACAGCACTGTTTGGTTTCTATAAGTTCTGCCATATGAGCAGAAGCTCATGAGGATTAGGAAGAAGTGAATTTTTTCCTGATTGTTTCCTGCTGTGAGGACTGTCCCCAATAGGTCTGGGAATTCTGGAAGACTTTCTAGATATGGTCTAGAAGACCATGCTAAAGTAGTTTCCTCCACAGCCTTCAAGTTGGGTATGTCAGCTTGGTTACGGAGAACAGAACACTTTAAGCCTATATTAAAATGGTTACTTTTCCCTTGGTTTATCCAAAAATCGCTACTTTTCCCTTCTGCTAGCCTGAAGCATAAGGGGAGTTTTCTCAGATCTTAACTGTGATAATCTGATAGGGTTCCTGAAGGTAAAACTCACACAAGAGTGGGAGCCCCCTGGACTGATTCCTTTAGTTTTTAACTCTAGTTCACACTGAATCTCCAGCAACTTGTTAATTATTATTTCAATATTTACATCAGTTAGCAGCTCCGGTGGCTTCTGCTCACAGCAGGTTATAATTCTCATATTTACCTATCTCTCCAGTTTTTCAGGGTGACGATTTGTCTGGGATCTCAATTCTCTGGTGGATCTAAGAAGAGCTGTAGATTTTCTGTTCACTGAGTTTTTACTTGTGGCGAGGACAGAAGTGATGACCCCCAAGCTCTTTACAAGTGACAGAAGAAACCGCCTCTCCTTCACTTTTAAATCAGCTCTGGTAGACTTTCTTGGGCCTACATTCGTGTGGAAATTCTAATAAATATTTTTGACTTATTCTTAGAAGTTGTCGTTTTTAAACAGAAGTAATTGAATTGGTAAACTATTTCAATATATTTCCAATAATGCCCATTTTTTTTCTAGTTTAGACATTAAGAAAAATTTCAATTAGCATTCTTAACTTGGACTCAAAATTAAATATTTGAGTTGGATTGTAAAACATCTAAATTTCTACACTACTCCGATGTCATAAAAAAGGTGGGGTTTCTTTCTTGAATATCTTCTCCTTTTATTTAACTTCCACATAACTGCTAAATACTTCTAATAATTTATATCATAACTACTAATTAAATGTAGACATATCTGTTTGAATTCTGGATTCTTCATTGCTGTTCCTTTCTTTGCTTTATCTCATTTTTCACTCTAAATATAAAGTAGTAGTGCCCTCTGTAATGACTCCTAATAAAATACTCTGACTAATGAGGTCAACAAGATTTAGTTGCAAATCCTGGTCATTTCTCTCTTTTAGGAATATGATCTTCTCCAAATTAACCTCTTTGAACTTGTTTTCTCATCTATAATACAAAGATTGTGCTGTCTATTTGGCTGAATTGCTGACTTAGAAATAATGTGTGCAAAATCACTATCACAATGCCTGGCATGTTGCTGGAAATAAATAGAAGTGCAGTAACAATACATTATTGTACAAGTATATTTTATTGGTACTTTTTCAAACTATTATCTTCAAAGGCTATTGATTGTCAGAAATAAAGTTTCAAGTGAATAAGTTCACCTTAAAATTGAACGCATTTATTTTTGTCTTAAAGGACCTGCCATGTTTTATGCACAATCTCTGTCTCTGTTCAATTTAATACAACGTAAACAGTATTCAGCTTATACTGATGAAATGGTATTCATCAGAGTACTGATGAAAATTGTTTTACTGTCAAAAACATTTTTCTCCCCTGAAAATATGTAGGGTATGAGGTCTGCACCCTTATAATAGTCAGCAAATGTTTCACTCTTGGCCTAGTTGGAAAATCACAGAAGTATCTATGAAATAATGGATAAAGAACTGAGTCTAACATAAAATAGCTTTATGGAAAAAACAAACTAATGTTTTATTTTCCTGGAGGTTAAGTATGTTAAGCATATAACTCATATTTTGTTCTTGTGCACTTAAAAAAAGTATAGTGCAAAATAGCTTTTTAAACTGGTAAAGCTTCTATGCAAAATTAGATGAGCTAATGTTCTGGAAGATTTGTAAGGAGCTATGTTCAAATTGTTCTCTCTTAAGATGGGTTGAAAGTCCGAGGTGGCACATTTTTCTAATAAATGGCAAAGCTATTGCAGCAAGGGGATTTGGAAGAACACACGCAGGTCTTTGCTGATTCAAGTTGTACTGTTGAGCTCAATTTTCTTGAACTCTTCTACTAAGTCAGTGAGATTTTAAATTAATAATAAAAAACTAAATAAACATGGTCTTGAACATTTCAAAATGTTAGAAAAACAAAAAATTCATATAAAATGGTTTCTGTTTTCTGTCTCTGGACAAATATCCATATTCTTGCTAATATAAGAGATATAAATACATCTGTCTTGCTAAATAGCGCAGAGAAGGCTCCGCAAGCAATGTTGCTTCTGCAATATTATTGCTCCCCACTCCCACTCCCAAGTCTAGATCCTCTTAGTACCATCTCTATATTTCAGATTTCACAGAAGCAAGTCTTTTGGGTGAGATGCAATAACAGAAATAAATTAGCAAGCCCCGAGATCAAATGGGAAAAATATTCTTCATTTGACTTTGTAATTTGTTTGCAGTCTTTGAATGTTTTTTTATCTCTCTCCTGAATCATCAAAGTTTTTCCATATAAAGGAAAAAAAAATAATCTTTCATCCAATCTGTGAATCTTAAAGCTATTTCTGCCAGTTGATCATAGAGTCACTTCAGGAATGTTATAGTCATAGTCAGAGCAGATACTTACTCAAAAAGAGACAGATCGTGTGTCTGGTCCAGTCATGTAGCGGTTAAGTTTGCATAGTCCACATTGGCAGCCTGGGGTTAACAGGTTTGGATTCTGAGTTCAGACCTACATACTGTTCATCAAGCCACGTTGTGGCAACATCCCACATGCAAAATAGAGGAAGATTGGCACAGACGTTAGCTCAGGGACAATCTTCTTCATCAAAAAAAGAAGAGAGAGACATTGTAGTACTAATATTTTATGTGAAGAGCCTAATTTTCCACCTTTCAACTTATTCCTCATGACTTTGTTAAAACCTTAGGACTGAAGCAGAACAAATTGTTCATTCATTCTTCATTCATGCAAGTATTCATTGAATACCACCAGGTACTCAGCTGGGTATTGGTGGTTAGCAGCAAATAAAATAAATACAAATCCCTACTTTCACAGGCCTCACATTTTAGAAGGTTTGAGATAATAAGCAAGAGAAATAAGAAAACCATATATCATGTTAGATGGAAATAAATGCTAAGTGGGAAAATACAAGCAGAGGGGAGATAGGAAATGTGTTTATGTGTGTGTGTGTGTGTGTCTGCAGGAGTTGACAGGTTTTTTTAATTTTTTTATTTTTTTTATTTTTTTTTTAAAGATTTTATTTTTTTCCTTTTTCTCCCCAAAGCCCCCCGGTACATAGTTTGTATATTCTTTGTTGTGGGTCCTTCTGGTTGTGGCATGTGGGACGCTGCCTCAGCGTGGTTTGATGAGCGGTGCCATGTCCACGCCCAGGATTCGAACCAACAAAACACTGGGCCACCTGTAGCAGAGCGCGCAAACTTAACCACTCAGCCACGGGGCCAGCCCCAGGAGTTGACAGTTTAAATAGAGTGGCTAAGGAAGTCTTCACTGAGAAAGCGACTTTCAGTGACCAAGATAAGGGAAGCCATTTTATATTTGAAGAAAGCTTTCCAGGGGCTGGCCCCGTGGCTGAGTGGTTAAGTCCGCGCGCTCCACTGCAGGCGACCCAGTGTTTCGTTGGTTCGAATCCTGGGCACGGACATGGCACTGCTCATCAAACCACGTTGAGGCAGCGTCCCACATGCCACAACTAGAAGGACCCACAACGAAGAATATACAACTACGTACCGGGGGGCTTTGGGGAGAAAAAGGAAAAAATAAAAAATCTTTAAAAAAAAAAAAAAAAGAAAAGAAAGCTTTCCAGGCAAAAGGAACAGCATGGGAAAGTCCCCAAAGTAGGTAATTTTACCGGGGGGCTTTGGGGAGAAAAAGGAAAAAATAAAAAATCTTTAAAAAAAAAAAAAAAAGAAAAGAAAGCTTTCCAGGCAAAAGGAACAGCATGGGAAAGTCCCCAAAGTAGGTAATTTTATTCCATTTATTCCATGACAGTCCCTGAGCTACTTAATAGTCACTAGCATGTCATTTAGTACTTCCTTTAGATGAAAACCCCAGTGTCTTCCTTTGCTTCACAGACCAAATAATTTAGATAATCTTCAATGACACAGCGGCCTTCCTTCTGGGGACATTCTCTGCTTTGTCTTCACCATCTTTTTCACATTTGCATAAGATAATACTAAATATTCCATTGTACCTGTTCAGGAATGACTGAAATGAATGAATGGATTATTTATATTTCTAGTGTTTTCTTTTTTAAAACAAGTATAGTTCTGACATGATTAAAAACTTTGTTGGTTATTCATTTCTCTTTTTTATTAGTTCTATTCATTTGTCTCTCTCTTATTCTCCATCTTTGTCCCACCTTCCATCCCCCAGAGCCACTCAATTACAGATTCTTACTAAAAATTTAATTATTCTATTTTCTCAGGCAAAGCTGGGGGTAAGAAAGGAAAGTTGAGCATCTGACAAAGTCCGTTCCTTCATTTAACATTTGTCCTTCAATATCTATCTCATTTGGTACCTAGCAGCAGAATTGGGATTTCTAAATAACAAATTGTTAAATTCTAACAATTCTCTGTTAAGTGTCATCATTATGTCATTTTTCTCTAAAAGTCAAAGTGATAAAAATCAGTGAAGCATCAGTAAATGATACTGCAGACTTCACCTTTAACTGTAAATCTCTCCCTAGGTTTTAGATACTTATTATAAATCATGTCAGTCAATAATATCTGTCATAAATAAAGTGAACATGTAATTTATCATGCAAACTGGGAGTTTTTGTAAGTGACCATGGGCACTATTAAAAATTAAGACACGATAACAGGTATGAAGCAGAACTATGCAAAGAAAATTAGACTTAAGTCTCCTCTACTTACGTATAATATTTAATAAAGGTAGTATCATATAGTGGCCAACCGAAAAGGTTCTAGAATCACAGAGAACCAGGTTTGTATTCCAGTGTTCATGAAGCAGTAGGATCTTGGGGAAACCATTTAACCTCTCTAAACCTCATTCTCTATATTTATAGAGGGTAGCTGTCAATGTTATTTATCTCATAGGATTGTCATGAAGATTCATTGAAGTTAAATGTATAAATCATTTACCTTAGGAGTTATGCAATACTGTGTACTCCAATATTAGAAAAATAGAAGCATAAGATTAGTGAACCTCTTTATATTAAAATACTAGAAGAACTTATTCAAAAATGAGTTTTAAATATCATAAAGAAAAAATACAGAGTGTTTCCACAAATATTATAACACTAAGAATTGGTTTTGGTTTCCTGATTTAAATATAAATGACTAGATAACAGATTTAGAGATAATAATAAGATCTTAATATATGATGGACATTGTTTTAAGTACTTTCTAAGTGTTAACTAATTTAATCATCTCAACAACTCTATGAGGAGCTAGTACTATGGGAGCAACGAGACACAGAGACGTGAAGAAACTTATCCAAGGTCACCTACTAAGTAATTGGCAAAGCAGAAATTTAAACCCAGGCTGTTTCTATCTTAACAGTTAGGATATATTGACTCTCAATATGAATATAAATGAAAAAAGTTACATAGCAAATATAGAAATAAATACTTTGATTTTTTAAAAATCTGCCTTTTGTTTGCAGGGAAGATGGAGTAATAGAAACC